GTGCTATTTTATATTTCATGAAGTGGCACAAGGTGATGCTATACAATGTGTTCTTCATTGTGTCAACAAACCCCATGAAAAGATTAAATCAACAATGAATATTTCCTAACAATAGATGTTGTTTGTGCCGCAGCAGGGCCAGATCGAGACTATTGTTCTGTTTCATGAAACTCCATTGTGTTCCCAGAACTATTAAAGGCACATTAATAACCCACACTGTTGTGCAAATTAAAATGTACCTGCAGTTTATTTGGAACTGAGCCAAAATACTACAACTCAGTGCTAAAGACTGAACAAGACAATGAGTGCCATTCATCTAGAGACCTAGCTTTCCTACTAATGAACCAGCTGTGCTAATACTTGATTCTGATTGGTCAAAAGTTCATAACAACAGTGACTAGCCCACAACAGAAAAAGCAACAAAAGGAACAATCTGATCTTACAGATTTATCAAATCAATCCACAGAAAGGAGTCAAGCATTGTAACCTCTGCTTATACTGTGGTATAAAAATTGAGTGTTAGTTCAGAAAGGCCACAAAAGTCCAGGTCAGCCCACAGCTTAACAACTGGCAAATATCTCAGTGGACCCCCGTATTTAAACTGTTAGATTTGAGACTCGGAAAACAATGACACTTACGGTGCCTTCCGTTTACCTTACAAGTTGGAAGTCAGAGCTGGGAATGACGTTACACCCGAGTAATCACCGTTTCAGTTACAAAGTCAGAATACATAGCCAAAAACTGAAGTGGAAACAAGATGGCTACATCTACGAAAGTTATTCTCGCGCTTGCCTTGTCCGCATATATACAACTTTTGGACAAATGTGCGGTCCTTCTGCAACCTGTAAACATAGTGGATGAAGAGGAAACACAAATGCACAGAAGGTAGCCTATTTTTTCTCATTACAGGAGCTTCTACTTACTTTTTGCAACCCTCGCAGCCATCTTCAAATGTCAACTCGAGGGTTGTGTGGATCGTCTGACTTTCCGAGTCGGAAGTCCGACCTCAGGGGTTATTCCAGTCGAAAGTCCAGACTCAGAGCTTGGAAATCCCAACTTCCAAGTACAAGTGGAATGCACCATTAGCAGGCACAGATATTTTGAGTGGCTGTGGGTCAGTGATAGAGTTGGTTGTCTCTCAATTAGAAGGTCACAGGTTTGATCCCAGGTCATGCAGTCTACATGCCAAAGTGTTCTTGGGCAAGACAACCTGCCCCTCCTAGCTGCGCCCCATGGTGCATAAAATAGATTAGTTAATACTGATGGATGTTTTACACAACATCCTGTACCATCAGTGTTTCAAATATGGTATGAACAGGTGAACGTGACATGGAATGTAAAAGCACTTTGAGTGGTCAGAGGATTAGAGTAAGCACTATATAGCACATGGTCCATTCACCATTTACCATATAAGTACAGCCTCAATAGTGACTGGACCCCAACCACCTTTGATGAGGATAAGTGGTAACTGCAGCAGGGCTGTTGAGTGCATCTCTAAGATTTCAACTTAAACCATAAGTGGTGGTGATAGCAGCAAGTGGTTTTGAAGATAGACGTTAACGTTACAATTGGCTGTCCATACCAAACCACAGTGACGTTTCAAAATATAAGATACACCAATGTGAGCATAATTCCCTGGAGTGTTTTTTAGGTTTTCTGTACAGCTCGTGGGAGACTTGGCCTTAACCTGAATTCCTCTAACTCGTTGGAAAATGTGTGAGGACAATGCATTTACATTGATCATTGTCTGATCTGTGCTATGCTAGAAACCTGGTGGTGCTATGGTTGTAATCCTTTGTTCAGATGACCTGTTTTCTTAAAAGTAAATCTATATATCTATCTCTATATATTTATAAATAAAGGGAGAGAGAGATGCTCTCATTAAGAACCAGTGAGCTTTCGACTGACAGGCACATACACTGTAGTAAGAATTCATCTGGTCATTGAACTTCTATTATTGTCATAATGGTTTTATCATGACAGAGATCTATTATAGTGTGAATAGATGCTCCTCTTGTACCATGATTGCCCCCCATTCTGCAGTTCTTTTGCCTTGATTGGCCGTGATTAAAGCCCATTACTTACCTTAAATTTTTTTCTGCATTCAATAGCTACTTGTAGCTCACGGCATTGACCTGCGATAATAATAGATCTTTTCCTGCATTTGCTATGACCCAGAAAGAATGTGATTAATTATAACAAAGATCGTTATTGTTCATGTAATTATTGTCAGTAAATGTATCTGAATAACCTGAAGCTGTCTATTCATTCAGTCTTGTGCCTCAGTCCCATGGCGGGTGATTAGGCACGATCCATACTCACCCACCAGTACAAACTCCAGTTTCCACGCCTGCAACCAAAGTAACCAGATATCCTCGACTGTGAAATATGTAAACGTGGAAAAAAGTGTCTGTCATTGCAGGCAGTCTGTCATTGCCAGTCTTGATTAGCTCAAACTCTGCTGAGCTCAGTGTACTGTCCCGGCCCTCCTGACTCCAAGACGAGGTCCTTTGGGTTTTAGCTGTGACAGATTGAGGGTGTCAGAAGGGACTCCCAAGGGTGTGTGTGTGTGCATGTGTGTAAGGGGGTGTGTAGACTCATGCATGTGTGTGATATCCGCTTTAAGTGTGTGTGCATGCGTTTGCCTTTGTGCATCAGTGGGCTCATTTGTGTGTATATGCTTGCTGCCCACGTACTGTGTTTGAATGTGTATGCTTGTGTGTTTATGCTTGTGTGTGTGTGCGTGTGTGTATGTGTGAGTGGTTGGAGGCTGAGTGTACCAGGGCCAAGATCTCGTCTGTGAATCACATGTCTCCCATCAGTCTGACAGCATTAAGCCGAGCCCAATCAATACCCTGAGGGCCTCCAATCCCTCCGACTGAACGACAGAAAGAGAGAGAGAGAGACAGACACACCAGAGGGTGACTGGGAATGGGTGAGAGGGGGGAGACAAAGAGAGTGCGATAGAGAAATGACTTGTAAAGTGATGGATAAGAGCATTGAGTCCAAGGCTGCATTCACATTGCAGCGAAAGTGTCCCTGGCATCATTTATGTCCTTGTGCGAGACTCATATAGTGAGATGTTTTCAAGTCCCGCTGGCACAAGACATGCAACCACATTGTTAATCTTGATTATTTCAGTCTTTATCATACAACTAGATCCAAAAAAATGCACTGCATATTGATTAAATGTGCTCATTACACACCGCTTTACAAGAAAGTGACACAATGTCTCAGGCAGAACAAGAGATCTGTCATTAAGAGTCAAAGTGAAGCATAATTTACAATCTGCTAAACGAGATTTTAAGGGACTACAACCTAAGAAAACAATGACTTTTTTTTTTTTTTTTTTAAGAACTCAAATTGGTATTCAGTTCACAACACAGGTGCACAGAAGTACAGACAGAAAGCAGACAGATGCAGAAATAGACAACAATCAATTTTGGAAAAGCCCGAGAGCTGACAGAAAAATTATATAGGCAGAGCAACAGAGAAGCTGCACGTCTCATATCTCAACAAACAAAACAAGCAAAGCAGACAGAGAGTGTAGAAAGTTCCTGGAAAAGAGTTCCATCTTCAGTGACAGAATAATTCAGGCAGGAGTTCTGCTCATATCAGCTCTGCATTAAGCTTCCTTTCAGGTCGTGGTTGTTTTTCACGGGAGGTACTCTTCTAACCTAGGGCGAGGGCCTTCCCTCTGGCGATGCTAACAGGGCTGTCGAGGGTGAAGAAACACCAGAGAAGTTGCTGTAGCATGTCCTGGTCTCCCCTCCATGTTCTGCTGTAGGTCTCGCTCGCTTTCTCCCTCTGATGTCTGACTTTACTTTTTCATTTTAACGAAGTTCTGGTTCCTCTTGATGCCCTTGTTTGAAAATGAAATGTTTAATCATGCTGCAGTTTGTTTAAGAAAATTGGATTCTTGCAAGTAGAAGTGAATAGATGCAAATTTGTGCAGGGTTGAACGAATTTAGGCAAAAATGCAACTCGTCCGAAACTGAAAGTGAAAACGATTCCTTCTAAAGCAATGTGAGGTGTAAGGCTGTGCTCCAAAATCATCTACTCAATCTTAATTATATACCTCCAAGCTTATCAATCCCTTAAACCAACTAAATTTTACATGAGCTACAATTTGCACAAGGATATCAAACCTCAAACTTGAGAAACTCACAAAAGCAGTATTTCAATGTACAAATATAACAGAAATGTTAAGTATGAGTCTACTGAATGCTGATTTTAGGTATGGATTGATAATTGTACCATCAATCTGACTAAAATCACAAGAAGGTCCAAAATTCAACAGTGAAGGTGTATATGCATCTGTGCAGCATATCAGTTTATAAGGATATACTGAATATTCGGCAGAAAAATGTAAATAAGAGTTCAAATATTCTTATTTCATCCATTTGACTTGGTGACAGACTGCTGCTGCAGCTTTTGTCTGCTCTATTTCTGCTCTGAGTTCAGGTAGTCCATCTGACGATAACAACCTGCATCTCTTTTCCTGCACTAAGATAAAATGATCATAATCAAATCAGCGAATGGAACCAAGAATTGCATTAGTAATCGCATCGGTACCATGAATTCATCAGTGCCGATGTGTATGGAGAAAATTAGAAAATAGAGTCAAATATACAAGAAACCACGTTAGTTTGTGCCCACAAAGTCAGCTGCCAGAAAAGAATCCAAGCACAGCTATCTGTAATGAGTAAACACAGATTGTTGGACATTAAAATGAGAGGTGCGCTTTATTAGTAACACTTACTGAACAGGGCATGCTGTGCACCATGAATTAGACCAACAAAGTCACTGGCTTCATGCTGAAAATAACCGAGCACAAGCATCAAATAGTCAGGTCTTCATCTCAGGAGTGATTTACAACTTTAGAGTAACTTTCATCATGACGATAGCTGAAACTTTTCTGCTGTAGATGATACAAAAAGAGAAAAAAAACATCACTTTTTGAAGTGTATGATTTGAGTACTCACAACACCAAAACTAACTCTGCATTATTTATATGAAAATGACAATAGATGAAAATGTAGAAACTCTGAGATTATAAAACTGGAGGAAGAAGAAGGACAAAGCTTCAAAATGCAACCCAAATAAACAAAATCAACAGACACAAATATTTTCATGAGTTTTCCTGGTCCCAGATCCTGGCAGACTTTCTTTTTAATTAGGTCTGTGTTCAAACAAAAACAAAGTATGCTAGAATAATTCCCTGTTAGAATAATAGACAAAAATGTACACCATCTTTAGGGTCCTTACAGTGGCTTTAAAACAATATTGAATAACAAAGGTGAACAGTGAACGTTGTATGTGCAGTTGTTTGGTATTGTTTCTTTTTTGTTGAAAATGCTGCCATAGACCCTCCAACAGTGGAAGAGGCCATCTTGGTTTCTGACAAGGAAGCTCCTGTGTCGTCATCTTTGGTAAACGACTATGATCGGGTAAGGCACATACGCCACCAGCTGGAAAATGTTGAGAGTGATGGCAGCTCCAGACCTATAATAACACAAGGAAGAATGACCAACTTGCTCATATAGCACACAGTGATGAGCGAGGGCGTCAAAGCTAGAGTTGCACTTCGGTGCTCTGTTACACACGATGTCCAGAGAGTGTAAACTTAGAGAGGAGGCGTGCATAAACAAGACATTTCCTCTGCCAAGCACGGACATGGAAGTGCCAGCAACCGCTCTCATAAGATAGACTGATACATGGTGACTGTGTTTACTGTAACCCCTGTGTTAGCGTTAAGATTTTGTAATTGTGTGATTCACTAACAAATTTTTATCTTCTCTCGGACTGTAAAACTGCGGCAGCATCCATTTTTTGTGATGTAGAATCAACAAAATAATGTTCTCTTATAATCTGAAATTTTAATTTTATAATGATAGATATATAGATAGACAGACGGACAGACAGACAGACAGACAGATAGATAGATAGATAGATAGATAGATAGATAGATAGATAGATAGATGAGCAGAAGAGGAGTAGTAAAGGGAGAGAGGGAGAGCAGAGGAGGTAGGGAGGCAGACAGATCAAGCATGTTTTGCTCCGTGTCCCCAGGGGGGGACATGTCCAGATGGCTCATTGGAAAGTATCCTCCCTCTTCGTCCACAAGAGTCCTGTCTCTCATGCAACACAGAGGACTCGTTATTCACTCGCTCTTCCTCCATGCTGCTGTCTGCTGTGCTGTTTCATCTGCAGGAGCCTCCTCTACTTTCTGTTCTCTTTAAACTTGAGCCGCTTGCTGTTTTTCGGCGACACAAAAAGAGTAGCAATCAACTAACTTTCGGTGTGTTGATATGTAGAATAATCTTTGAGCACAAATGTCAACTCTAATAAAACATAATGAAACATTTACTCTCCGCAAGGCTCTGCAGAAGATAAGGAAGGAGGAATATTTATCGCTTGGTTCACAAATGGCTGACTGTTATTTTCATTAACTATCAGGAGAAACATGCTTGGTCTGAAAATTTAAATCCTCTTCATTCATGGATTTAGGAAAAAAAGGTCCCAGTCAGCAGTGCAGCTTTTCATCCAGGTTTTTAATGTGTGCATCTTCAGCATGCAAATCAATGAGTTAGCAAAGCGGTGATTGGAATTCCACACTTATGGGCATTTGATCGGAATTTGCACCAGGATCCACGGGGCGAGTCGATCAGGGTAATTCACTATGAAATATCCAGAGTTACGCTCTGGTAGGCGCATCTGGCCCCCGCCATTCATTTTGTTTAGCCAGTCCAATGTGGCAATCAAAATGAATTAGCATGACAATTTTATTTCTGAAAAGGCTTAGGGCGGCCCATTTTTATTGATGAATTTCAATAAGGACTTGACAAAAGGTCCTTTGGAATTGACAGCCCCCTCCCTTCCCTTCTACTTGACCTTCAGGTATCTGTGTCTCTTCTGTGTCTGAGTGTGGGCACCGTAAATGTCCGTATCAGCCGTAATCGTTTTATACCACCGTCTAGAGCTGTATTAGTCAGGGCGCAGGAAGGTAAGCACCTGAGGTGATGAAAAGGTCTGAATAGATGATGATAATAGTCATAAATCTCCTCATGTGTTGTGTTAGACAGCCAAACTGCTCATTCTAATCTCTCCCTCAATTTGTCAGAGGCTTTAATATATTGTAATTTGGATGATTGATGGTAAGTTTTGCGCAGTATTGAAGGTGATATAGGTGTATAAAATACCACTTCTGGTAATGCTGGAAGATTTAATATAGTTCTGGGGTTGGAAAGTATAGGGAGATTTAAGCCAGAAGAAGATTCCTACAGTTTGAAAGGGAAAATGTTTGTACTTTATACTCAAAGTGACCTTTTTCAAGAACAAAATACAAACAACTTGCTTCAAATTAAAGCTATCACAACATTTGATTTTCACTTCACAGTTATTGTGGACATCAAATATACGATAACGATGATAAGAATTTTGGAAATCTTGAAAACCTTACTTCTTAAAATTGACTTATCATACATATTTAATGATGTTTAGATTTATGATTTATCTACATCATCAATCTTTTGGAAAGGCAATATCTGAGCAAATGATTGTTTTTCATGCTTTTATTTTGTTTTGTTTTTTTCTGTCTTGCTTTAGGCTGCTTTATTCCCTGCGTTGTAAAACTATGCATTCTGAAGCACATGACTTCTGGTGGATCATAAGTTACCACACTGATTAGAAGCAGTTAAAAGCTTGGTAGGAGAGTATTAATGTTCAATTGATTAGAGGCACAGGCTCTAATGTTACTTTTGGATTCACAATCAATCTTTAACATGTGTTTTTGGAGTGTGCAGCTGATGGTGCTTTTGGGAAATGTAGTCTCCATCCAAGCAATGTTCTACTTTTATCATCCAGAGCGTTCACCAGAATAATACAACATGGAAACTCCTCACAGTGCCTTTACTGTATGTGTTTTGGGTCTTTTCTTAAATCTAAAACTGCTGCTGCAAGGCCCCATGAGATCAGGTAATTGGCCTTATAAACTGTGCTTCAAACTCCAATAAAAGAACATAACAGAGTCACAAAGACCCACAGAAAGGAGACAGTTTTATACACAATTCCAACATCTTAATGTGCTCAGCGTGGGCGAACAGATGATAATGTGTCTGCTCTAAATATTTACAAATTAATGTCAATGCAGAAGTTTACTCTCCAACTTACTGATGAATAAACCTCTATTACGTAATGAGTGAGTCAGCAGAAAATGTACAATTTAGTGTTTCAACAGAGCCCTGGAGTGTTTGTTTGTAGTGAGATCACAATCAGCTCAGCATCTGAAACAAACAGCTGCTGTACTCATCAGTGTTGCAGACCAGCAGAAACAGATGCAGCTATACTGGAAACAATGATACAGCTGATAGTTAGCACAAAAATAACAACAGGCTAACAGTATTATATCTGTCGTTTCTCAGTTGGAAGGTCAGAGATTCGATCCCAGGTCATGCTGTCCACATTTGGAAGTGGCTTTGGGCAAGACCTGAGTGGTCACAAGGTCAGAAGACTTAAGACAGTATAGTCCATCCATCACTGAACCTCCACTTTGGCTGAATTTATCTTGAGCCTTCACATACAGGCCCTCTTCATCTCGCCCTGAGTTATAAGTTATTGTATTTCTGTGGGCAGTGTCTAATATTTGACAGATTTTTTAGAAATTTTCCAAACTTTTGAAAGTGAACTTAATGTATAGTTTGACTTTTGACTGTTTCATGATCAATTTTGTCTACATTGTGTTATTTTTTCTGACAATCTCAACACATTTTATGAATTTAGCTGCTGTTTTTCTCTTTTTTTCTTATTTTTATGTTTCCCTCCTGTAAGGTGAGGGCAGTGAACCTGTGCAAATTTTAAATCAGGCAACTCCTGAGACCTAGAAATTTTTGAACAGTGAAACAAAATGCAAACTTTTGCCCCTTATTTAGCAGTGACTGTTTTAAAAGTGATGGTTCACTTATACTTGGCTGTACTTCATGGATTTGTCTATCTGTGCCCTCAGTTTGGATTTGGGTTGATATTCAGGTCTGGACAGCATTTTAGTTCAGAAAATGTTGGTAAAATTTTATGGTTAAACTGACCAACTATTTAACATCTCAGGAGCCTCTGATAGTAGTCGCTGAATTGCCCTCTGACCACATGCAACATATCAACCCGGTTGAGGCACTAGAGAAATGTTTCAGGGACACCAAGGGCAACAGCATTTCCTCCTCTGGGCACCTTGATTCACTGCAAACTCGTCTATCTGTCAAGAGCTAAGATGCTTTACTTGGTCTCGAGATGCACAGATGCCACTCTATAGCCACCCCACAAGTGTATAAAAGAAAACCGTTTCATGAATAAATAATGGGAACAACTGTTTGTTGCAGCTATGTTTAGACTCTCTTTCTCTCATTCCCCGCTCATCTGTAATCCGACAGACCAAAACACAAGCGAGTGCATGTGCACCAAAGTCTTTGTTTCCCTGCAGTACAGAGGAGACTTTCCAGAACTGCTGCATGTGCTTGAACTTCCCTCTGAAAGCATTTGTGGGTTGTCTGAAACCTCCATCGATCATTAAAAATCATAAACTGCATAGCTCCACCGCCTCCATCACATTGGTCCCCAGTGGAGCAGCTCCTCAAACACCCCTAGAGGCGTTACAGCCAGAAAAATGTACAACCACATCTTGCATCACCACAGCTAGATGGCCATTATTTACAGCGCCTCCCGCTAAGAGCTGTCAACAGTGTAACTGCGGGCCTGCTGCTACAGGTTGTTGGGGTTTCTCAATGATAAACTGAGGGGGATCTGATGCCTTGGGATCCTACGACTACCACCATCTTTGCTATCATCAAAGAGCAGCTGGCGTTTGATCCGGCATGGATCAAAAGGTGAAGGACAGTACTGTCCTGCGGTGCTACAAGGAACCTCAGGATACCATGCAGAGAGGGAGGCAGACAGCAGAGCAGAAGATAGTCTAATTGAGACCAAGGGGAGTCCATCTACAGTCCTGGAGGGATTCCCCAAAAGGCCTCATCTTTGTTTCTTCAAAGGCAAAAGCATCATGTCACTCTGCTCACAGATCTTTATCCTCCTTAACCCTGAATTTTGATAGAGATACAAGCACCATTAGATCATTATCATAGGGAAGGAAGAGGAGACTCGAGGGGTGGAAGCTCTAACAAGTTGGCCACTGCCCCTCATTGGTTTTCCCGCAGTAGGGTTCTTAGCCGACTTCTGAGTGGAACATCTTTTCTATCTTTTCAATCTCAGCTCTGTTTGCGTCCAACTGGCTCTCTTTGATTGATGTCCGATGGCCAAGGAAGTAGCTTTTGGCCCTAATCATTTGAAAGCACATCATCTGCCTCCCCAAGGCGCGTTCTCATTAGCTTCAAAAGTGAATCAAAGAAAACAAAAGCAAGTCTACGTGAAAGAAAGGCAAGAGAGGAAGAAAGAGAGAGGGGCAAACAACAAAACAGAGAGAGAGAAAGAGATCTGCTTTGCCTCACCATTCATCATCATCCATCTGTCTTAAAGGCTTGGCTCGGATCCCGCTTGGTGGAATATGTTGATTAGCAAGAATGGAAACAAGGGAGAGAGAGAGGGAGAGAGAGAGGGAGAAAGAGAGAGAGAAAGAGAGAGAGCGAGAAAGAGGAGTGATTAGCAGGGCAAGAGGAGGAGAAGGAGGAGGTGCACTGGATGAAAAAGAGAGGAAAGGAAATGAAGCGAGAGGAATAGAGGACAGATGGATGAAGAAAGACTCAGTTAGAGACAGACAGCGCTCTCCCTCAGATCAATGCTGCGTGTTGGAGGCCGCAGCAGCAGCTCTGAATGCAGAGACTCCGTCTACAGTCAATTAGACGAGCTGCTTCACCTCCTCCTGTCAAACGCTGATTAAAGCCCCCAGCAGTCATGGCAGGTCTTCCTCTTCCTCCAGACTCTCGCTTCCTATTGCTTCGTCTTTGTGTCTGAATGAGGTTGTGTGATGTCTGCGAGAGTGTGTGATTCAAGGTGTGTGCACGTAAGAGGCTGTGTGTTTTGTTTTTTCTATCAGTGCAGGGAAAGTTTCTTTACAAGACTGAATAAATTACTCATTATTTAGCACTCATTTAAAGTTTAACAAAATTATACTCCCATTTCTAAACGTAATGAGTCTCAGAGGCTGCAGTAAACATTAAAAAACTGCTTTTTAGTCGCTATCTTTGCTAAATAAGTAACACAATGTGAACTGAGTCCATGGCCTGCTGATGAAATTCTTGTTCTTTTGCTGTATTTTTTAGGTATTACAAACTGCGCGCTGTGTTGCAAAACCATAAAATAAAAAACAGAGTTGATCAAACAGCATTGTGGATGCACCAGAGAGAGAAGGTGAAGGGGATGTAGTGTTTTCTGCTGTCAGTGCTCTCTTATTCAAACGCAGAAAAGACTGACAACAACAGATGATGAAAATGTTGTGACAGCAGCGCCAAAACAATGTGTCTCAGAAAATCAAAATGGCAAACTGACTCTGAATTTTGAAAAGGACATTCAAAGGCGATATCTCTCATTGGGATTTTCATTTGAAGTAATTTTATTGTTGAGTAAGTTTTAATATTTGTTATTTTGCCTTGAGTGGAGAAAATGTCAGTGTGATGGAAAAACTGAATACAGTCCAGAACCTTCAAGTGGAGTGCCCAGCTAAATGTGATTTGCCTCACCAGACAACACAACACGAGCACTGCTTTTTCGTATTTTATTTATTTAAGTTTAATCACTGCAGGTCTGAAAAGATGGGCATATGTTGTGTCTTTGCTGTGTAGCCACCCACCATGAACCAGAGCTGTAACTCAATCATGATGACAACTATTCAGTTGTAAACGAGCACAAACAGCAAACAGTAACTCTAACATGGCAGGGTTTGGCACCATAGACTGTATATACTATGGACAACTTGGCTCCGCCTTCCATCATTGTACAAATTTGAAGCTAAATTGCTCACGGTATTTCTGGGATTTTCTCCACTTCCTGGAACCACCACTTGTGCAGGGAGAGTCACTGTGATGACGCTTGGGTCAAACAGTGTATTCCCGGGTGAGCTATGCAATCTTCATACGCCCATAGGCTGTATTAAGTGTCAATCATAGAAAACATGAACCCCATAATAACCTAAAGATGAAGCTGCACAGAGAAAAAAAGGACTTGAGCACAAACCAGTCTTACAGTAACTACATGTCAACACTGCAAGCAGGGGGAAGAAAATTGTATATTCCGTGTAATAAAATTCTAAAGTTTGTCCACAGCTCTATAGGGATGGTTGGAGGGGGCGGGATTTATGACCTATATTGTAGCCCGTCATCAGAGGGTGCTGTTCTCGGGGTGGCTTCACCCAGCGAGGAGGCAGACGGCGTCCATTCTTTATACAGTCTATGGTTGGCAGATTGTGATCCCAAAAAATGTAGATTGAGTTGTCGAATGGCTGTATCTGGTTGGCTAGCCCGGGCACATGTGGATGATAATATGCATGCAGGACCAAAGGCTAGTGCTGCTACATTCAATAACATTAGCAACACTCTTACCTTAACTCAGTGGTTCTCAAACTTTTTTTGTCATTCCCCCCTTTGGAGGAAGAAAAAATTTCATTCCCCCCTACCCCAACAAAATTGTGACAAAATAGGCCATGTATAACTTTATTGACATAACATTCCTTCTGCTGTATTTCTCAAAACTCGAAAAACGTGCATTCATGTTGCAAGAACAATAATAATCAAACAATATCAAGTTGAGTAAGTACAAAAAAATCCTGTGAATCCAAGAGCAAGATAGCAAGATAGCTTCATCATATTTCCTTGACTTGGCTTTTTGTTGGTTTGGCCTACTGTCATCTAGGCATGCTGTATTGCTGGCTTCAGCTTTTCTTTTCATCCCAGTCAAATATCTCTCCATTTTGTACTTTTATATACAATTTATTATTCTGATCTGAACACAGTTGCTGGTTGTTACGGTGACAGGTGAAAGCACGGGTTGTCCGTCGCTAAAAAAATTCCGACATCCAAACATTGGTTCCGCGGCACGGACTCTGCACAACGCGAAACGAAGCAGCTTCAGCTCCTCTCTGAGCTCTCCACAGCGAGAGGAGTGGAGCAGCTGCTGGCATAGCAGCGTCTTTGTACGCTTTCAGGAGGACATTGTACAGGTGGGGATAGCAGCATACTTAACAGGTGTTATGCCGTAGAATGCACCCCTGCCGTAGAATGCACCCTCTGCATCCCCTCCACTTGTTAGATTCTTAAAGTGGAAGAAAATGATCTCATATTTTAAAAAATACGACTATTTGATCGTGACAACTTTCGTTCTGTTTTTATATGTCTCAAAAATGCACATACGGAGGTGTGCTTGGGTACATAAACTGTACAGCAAGCTGTTAAGCTAGCAAACATTATATTTTCGGGACAGCAAATATTCCAAATCAGAGCGCTATTTTTTCGGCTTATCTGAATAGCCTGAATGAAATTATTAAAGGCGGATGCTTTTGAACTCATCCAATGGTAAGGAAAACTTAAATTATTTTCGCCTTGTTAAGTACTTTCAACCGCGCTCCCGTCGGGGGGGGGGGGGGCATTTTACGGTAGGGGTGCATTCTACGGCACAACACCCGGCAAGTATCTCGCCTTTAGCGTTCACCACAACAAAGGCTGCTTCTTCGCGGTAAAATAAAGAAACAGGGTTTAGGGCGCTGGACTCCCCCTACTGGTGTGGCGAGTTCAGTATGGCGCATGCATGACGAGCGCGGTGCCTGCACAGGAAGTGCCGCGCTATCACGGGTGCACACCAACCTATTTGTAGCCGGGTGACTCGCGCCCCCCCAGGGATGACTCCGCGCCCCCCTAGGGGGGCGGGCCACACACTTTGAGAAACGCTGCCTTAACTGCAGAAGTAGCCTGAGGCAGGGAGAGCACATTTTCTCTCTGTTTCATACACATGCATGCTAAGCAAAGGCAGGGGGACCAGCAGCAAAGATCTCCACAGCAGAAGTGGAACATGTGACACTTGTTAAATTAGAGGGAGGCGGAGGCAGGTTAAAGTATTTTAACATTTGTCAATCAGACATGCAGATAATCAGCTAATTTGGGCTGGCATTAAAAAAAAAGCTAATGTACTGTAGGAAAGCTATAGCTACTCTCAATTTCAGCCAGGGCCAATTTCATCACAGAAAATAAATTATTTTCATGCAATAACTTTTGTTTGGTGGTATGGCTGTTCTGAGAGTTCACTACCTGTGCATACCTGCAGCAGGGAGAGCACACCTCCCCTTTAATTTATGTGCATATTGTATTTGACGAGTCTAGACAGGGGGAGCAGCAGCAAAGTTTTTCATGTCTTTCAGAGACATATTTGGAGAGGAGATAATACTCATTTTAATACAAAAATTATGCAAAGCTTTGGTCCCTTTGGACTTATTCAAGTGTGCTCTCAAACAAATAAAAACCATGATCCCGAGGGGGGAATGCTCCACCCACTGTGAAATGCAAGTGGAAGTGTCTCGCAGTCATTAGCTGTGATGGGCTGTGACCATAAAAGTAAGGATGCAGCTGAGTTTAAAGGGCAGGTGGATGCAATGCAGCCTCTTGCTAAAAGTTCAGTTGAGTTTACATTTTTAATATGGTGACAGCCAATGGGCTTCAAATGTATCCTCAGAATCCAAATGGTGTCAACTACAGAAAGAACAGGACCTGTGACGAGTAGAGAGTCAGAAATGATATGCTGAAAAAGGTCAAGCCCAGGAGTCATACCAGCAACTGCTGTGAGGGGGACTGTAGTCTCTGTGCAGGAGGTTGTGCCTTAACCACTGTGACAAAAACAGCACCCCATGTTCTCCATCATATACCTATTTGAGCCAGGTAGACTACATAAAGTTCACCTCCAGCTGTAACCATCCCTCATATAATGGGAGCACAGCTTGTTGGAGAAGATAAATCAGCTGTTCTTCCAACACCAGTGCCATCTTATGATCTCACTGTGCTGCATCAAAGTGCAGTGGTGTCTTTACTGTGCAAAACAGCTGGAAAACAGCCACTGCTGTTGGACGGTTGGTGGAAATCAATAGTGCAGTGGGTGTTTACCCCACACCAGCAGACGAAGCAACAATTAGCCCACTGGAGAGCAAACGCATTGTACAGGTTGGCTTTGTGCATTGTTATGACTGCATTCAAACAGTGTGTTTCAGTTTTACATGAGAAAAGAATCCAGGGTTAAAGACTAACTGGTGGGTTTGACACATTCACCTCACATTAACCCTCCTGACCTCTAATTAAAGATGTCTTCTCCTTCACACATCCCTCCCAACAAGAGTAACAAGTGTTAATGAGACAGTAATGGATGTATAATAAGGTATTTTCTTCCCTGCAACCACTTTCAAAACAGTGAATTGGTTTATCCTTTCACACTTTGTAAACCATGATGATGCATGAAGGGGTGTGTGCATGCCTTTGTGACAGTTAGTCATTTTTAAACATTTTTTCCAGTTAGTCAAATGAGATTAGCCTTAAAGATCAGAGTAAAAATCTAAAGTCACACTGACAAATGTTGAATGACTCTAAGAACTGTGTGATCATTGTTGATTTTGTCAGCTATTCTGGATAAAATGGAGCCGAGTCCTATTTTTATTATCCCATCAGCAATTAAATGAAATATCTTGGTAGCTCCATCATGTGTGACTATTTATTGGATATTTAATGTGGGTTTTTGATTATCAGCACCACGATTTCAGCTGTGT